TATATATATATATATATATATATATGCAGATCCTAGAGTACATTGTTTTTGTATTTGGGGACTGTTTAAACGTGTAATTTGTGGTAGATTTTATTTTGTTGAGCTATTAATATTGTATACAGAACATGAATCTCACTCTGAGTTACTGTTGTTGTTGTTGTTTACAAACTAAAGAAATAAAAGATAATTTTGGTTTAGTTTTTACTGAATATTTAAGGGCAAACTGTAAAAATATATCACTTATTTTGTTGCAATTGTATGCTCTTTTTTTCCTCACTAATTTGTCATATAGTCAAGAATATCGTTATCACAAAAATACCCTGAAATATTGTGATTAAAAATGTGTTATTTTAGGGCCATATCGCACTACCATGTAGTCTACTAGTCATTTGGTCTACAAATGATAAATACAGATAAATGATCACAAAAGGTTACAGTAAGCAAATATTGTATTAGAATTGGTCATTTTTCTGACCTACAATCCAAAAAAACCCCAAATGTATTCAATTCACAGGGATATGAGCAGGAGAAAATAACTATCACTTATATGTGTACACCAGCACGACACATACGCCAGCTCCTGTTCATTGTTATCCTTGAACTGCTACATAGTGTGGTGTCTATAACAGTCCAAGCATAAACAAGACATTTGGCATATACTCTCCCATGAGAAAACATATTCTTAATGTAGAAGGTTACCTTGTTGTCAATAAACTCTGTAGGACGCTTCCAGGAGTGCACTTTCAAAGACGGAGGGAGGGAAATTTTCCCCTCAGGAACTTCAAAAAAAGGCTACAGACAAAAGCAAACACAGTGGATGTCATATAAAGAAAACAAAATGAACAAAGAAAGAATCAATGCAATGTCAAAATCAATACCAGTTGTAAAGTGGAAGCAACTTATTGATTTTTCAATACAGGTGCAGTATATGTTGCTGATGGCAAATATGTGAATGATCTATAGAGTCTTAATAATTATATGCTCCACATTTACAGCATTGTGACTCTTGTTGGCCTTTCCGTCCTCAGCTCCTTTACTTGAGTCCCATTTCTCCTTGTTGACTTCTGCATCGCTCCACTCAGGCCAGATGGGGAATCTGCATCTCCATGCTCCTCCTAGGCTCTCAGAAGAAGTGGCTGCTAGTGATGCTGCTCTGCAATGATGACACATAACTATTTCATTTGTTCTTGGCTTCCCTTTTTGTCAATATTTAGCAACCAAATTAGCTCAGTGTCAGTGAGTCAGCCTAGAGCCCAAATGCCGGTTTCCCCTTTCACAGTGGAAGTGATATTGGCTCAACAGCTGGCTGTTTTCATCATGATGTTAACAGACTGTATTTACACACAAGCCATAAGTACGTTAACGTAATGTAACGATACTTACTGAGGTGTATCTGTTCTTAACTGCTAGGCTTTTAAATACAGATAGGTCGAGTACATCTTTATATTATATTACACAATAAAACCTGCGACAAAAGGATCTCTGCCGGTTAGCGAGCTTCCTGAATGCTAAAGTTACCTAGCTTAGTTGATGCTAATGATACGCTGCTAACGTCAATGCTAACTACAGGTGTCCCTAATTAACGCTAATTGCCAACGTGAACCAAACTCACTCATTCTGTCGGTCGGATAAAGAGGCTTTACTGGAGGAGGACTCCTTCTTCTTCGGTTGTGCCTTGGACATTTTACTTGGTGTGTTAAATTTACGAGGTAATTCACCTGGAAGCAAGCAGGTCAAGTAATCTGCTGGAGGTGCATTTGTTAGGTTGTGCCCGTGCTCTTGAAAGTTTAGTCGTTGCTAAGCAACGGAGCTCTAACGTGGGCGGGGTCTGGAGCTGTTGCATCACTTGTTACTATAGTGAGGGATGGGCAGATTTCACTTTACAGTGATTTAGGGACTGTTCGTTACTTATGAGGGATAAGGGGTGGTGCAAAATGGATGAGGCATGTCTTATTATTATTTAAGCACTGGGCAGGGACTTGTGTTTTTTATTTTTTATTATTTATTTTGGCTTAGGGAAGGGGCAAACAAATGTAAATAGTTGTATTTTGTATTTACATGAGATTTTTAAAGAAAACACGCCTTCAAAACCCAAGTTTTCTTTAAAAATCACCAAAATGAAATAAAACAAATGATTGTGCGATGAGATTTATTTTCATGAGGATGTATCCAGTAGATTGTCTTATTTTTCTCTCATTCATTATTTTGCATCTACATACTTTGACATAGACAACATTCATATATTAACATATTTTATTTTACTCTTTACGTTAAATTTGGAACTATTTAAGATTGCGCACCTTACATGCAGGTAATGAGGGTTATGATTGGCAGAGCGATATATATATATATATATATATATATATATATATAAG